GATGACACCCTCTCAACAGTCATGATAACCATTTGAAATCCAAGTCCAAGACCCATTACTGGGATATTACCCTCAATAATCCTACTGTTACCTCTTTGTACTTTTCAGGGTCTCTAAAAGTACAAAGATGTGCTTTGGGTTCCAGTTATTAGTTCTATGGGGTAAGTGAGGTGAGAAAGGACCTCAGGAGACGGAAATGTACTAATACTGGGCCTCTATTTCTGACAGTGTATTTACTTCTCTCTCTATTCCCCTGCCCTTCCCTCCAGCTTCTCCTCTCAGACAGATGTCTTCTCATAAGAAATAATGTGTTCACATTTGTCTTGTTGTAGTAGGACAACACAGAACACCTTATTCTCTTTAAATGTAATTACAGTGATTGATGACTTTAAACACGAATCCCGTCGTGTCTCTATTTGTATTCTTTTCTCACAGTTGATGTAGTTTACATCTTATAGGCCACAAGAAAAAAAAAGAATTTCTTAGACTTTTAAAACATAGTAATAAAAATAGATTATTTTATGTACTTTCTGGTCATGTTAAGGGATTGGATGCCATTGGATGTTAGCAGCTTTATATGTGATCCAATTTTCCGTGTTTTGGCATACCTTAACACTGTTTTGTTTAAATGTACTCATAAATAAACTACTTCTCATCCAGGCTCAAGGAACTGAACAGCCTGCCAACAAAGATAAGAGTTGCACCTCTACTGGACAGCTTCCATTTGTGAATGAATCCATATGTGCAGTTATTTTTTCTTCTTGTTACACAGTAAAAATGTATACTGAAGTAGCAATTCATAATGTATTAGCTTGTGATCTTAAGAGAGACTCTTTTACATGCCAAGAAAATCCCCTATCATCTGTCCTCTCACTGAAAATGATGTAGGATGTGCTTTCACTAAACCCCAATATAGATTATAAAGTACCCTCTTTATGTTGCCATTTATCATTCTGTCACCTATCAATCCTCATCTCTCAATTGAATGTAAAAGGCCATCCCTGAAAAGAGATTCAAACCTCTTTGGAGTTAACCAGTTGGAATGACAGTGAAGCAAGAGCTGATTCAATAAATCATGTTTCTATCACTCTCTATTTTCCTTCCTGATTTTTAGCAGCTTTCTTACTTGCTCTCCATTTCTGTCTTTAACCCACATTGTTCTCCTGCCTACCTCTTGAGGGTGACATTGTTTCCTCTGTGGTGAACTTAAACATTGCCTGTAAAGTTGAGCTCACATGAGGAGTTTAACAATACATTCAGCACTTCATTAACACCTAGTAGCTAAAAGTACCCACCCAGACTGGTTAACCCAAGGTCCAGCAGTACTAGCCAGTAACATTCGTCTGTACCACAGCGAAGCAAGTCTCAGGCATCATGCAGGATAAGAAGAGAAGAGACGTTGCTCAATACAGTTGTTGGGGCAAAAGAGAATTGAAAGTAACACCCGAGGAGCCGAACACCAGCTACTAATTGACAGAACTGTCACACAAGACTGTTAGGTTGGATTTATAAATGATGCACCATGTCTGGATGGATTATAAGAAACCATAGAAGTCAATGTGGAGCACAAGGGTACTAAAATGTTTTGAACTCAACATCAACAGAAGATAATTCTTGAAAATATCTGTGAATTTGTGTAGGACACATCTGGAGGACAATTCCAAGGCAAGCTGGGTATCTACAAAGGAGGTGCTCACCCCTATAGCTGTTCAGCCTAGGCCTGGGCCTCCTCCATTACATTATCACAAAAAAGAGTAGCCGTGGGTACTATGGCCTAAATAGGGCAAACAAAAGCCGCTTCCATTATAAAGACAGCTCCAAGCTAAGGCCGGTCCTGGAGAAGTTAAAGGGTTGAATTGGAAGAAAAGTCTATGTTATCGAGCATAAGCTATGCTTTTAAAACAGGTCAGCTTAATGTGGCAGGACATAGGATGCACACCGGTATGGCACACATGGAGGCTGACAAACTGCGGAAAAAAAACTATAATGATGGAAATCCCAAGTGACACCACCATCAACAGGAGGTGAACACGAGAAGCATGTGTGATTTACCCTGGAGGCTTCTCAGTCAGCATTTGAGATTATGACCAGTCACCTGACTTGACCGCCTGACAATTTATGCTGTGTGAGTTTGAAGCAGGACTGTGACAGCAAAACTTGGCAGAGATGTCACATTTCCTCACAACTCGTTCCTCGTTTGTCATAAACTCATTTGGTCCTCACAGAAACATGCGCACTTACCCACTCTTTGAGGGGAATAGCTCTGCCTCTGGGCTCAGTGTGTGAAAAATCGCACAAGGGGCATTCTTATCCAAAGGACTTCAGTTTCTGACTGAAAATGAGAAAGCAGCTTTAGAAATCAAAGCCCAAGACAGACATGAGTGTGGCTGTTATCTTTTGACCCAGTAAGAATAACCCAGTGCTTAACCATCATCATTGTTTATGGCTGAAACATGTTCTTGAAAATTTCCCACAGTAGACTTGTAGGTATGCATTAATATTCCAGTCCCAGTGAAAAGTGAAAGATGCTGCCTGCGGCTTCTACTCTCACTAATCTAATTTTATTCATTTGTGGCACCGGGCTTTAGAATTTTTTGTCTGATTTCTCAAGAGTTCAGTGATTAACAGTCAAGATACTTGTGATGCTGAGAGAAATGTGTTAAGTGATTTGGGTGAAGTTATTATGAAAGACTAAGCACAGCGGCTAAACTAAACAGCACAGGGCTTTTAGAGAGTGTGCTGGAGTATTTTTTTTTTAAACAATCTGATTTGTGTGCTTCTCATAAAACACAATTCAGTTTATAACATCAGTCAGTGTAGAGATATAGAGTCAATCTATGGTTACAGATCAATCTGGGTCTATTCAATCAATTGTATTCCTTCCATTTACCTGTATAGATACAAGTGAGGGAATGTAGGCCAAAGTAAGTCCAAGCCACAAGATTATGTACTGTACTGTCAGCAACAAATGTTGCATGCACCCTAAACCAAAAGACAACAGTGTACAGAGTATATAAAAGAACAACAGGTTCTGCTTAGGAGGGGATCAGGTTATAGAAGAAATAGGGAGGAGCAAAAGGAAAACTGTAACATATTATACCTACAGATTTGTGTTATTACACAAGTATTAGATACATTTAGGCGTAGAGGGTAAATTAGAAAAATGGCCAAGAAAAAAGTATAACATCTTGATTGTTGTAAAGAAAGAATCAAGTTATCACAATTTCTTTATTCTCATAGTAACTATGCCACATTCCACTTTAACACCACCATTCTTTAGACAATCATTTGGGCTTAAACGTTTTTTTTCCCTGATTTTCATTTATTGATGAGTTTCATTTCATAATTATTGAGTTTATACTTTTCGTACTTTCATTTGGTTTTTGACCGGATATTGTCTGTGCGGATTATTTGATGTAGCACTTTAATCAAAGCCCCGCTATCTTGGTTGATAGTTAAAATTAAGAACAGCATGGTTTGAAGGGGAAAAAGGGAACAATATGAGTGTCTTTCCTTTGATTCCTTCCCAATTAAAACTGTTGACTTGCTTATGGTAATAGGAGTGAAGAGCAGATGTGATATGGTACAAAAGGTGTCTGGCTGTGTTTTGGTTATGAAGCATATTCATTTGTGTTTCTTTTTGAAAGACAGATAAGATCAGCAGAAATTAAACAATGCAGGCAGAAGAATAAGGCTCACAGAAAAGAATAGAAAGAAGAAGACAGGGAGTCGGATGAAAAAGAAATCTGTCAATTGACAGCTAGACTGTGCTGACCTAAACTGCTGTGACTGGACAGAGTAAAAAAAAAACAATAACTCTCAAGTGAGTCCTGACTGGCTCGTCCTTCAAGTTTTTTGATAACTAAATATTACAGACAAAGGGAAATACAAGAGCCACCAGAAGCATGGCACACTAATTGTTGAGATCTTTGAAATCCTTCGAAGTTTTAAAACTCTGTCAAATGCTACAGTGATGGCTTCACTTAATGCCGCATTTTCTCTCTGCATCTGATGCAAGTATTCAAAATGGGCAATGATTTTATTCAAAAGAGATGAAGCAAGAGGATGGAAATTCATGAATGTGCATCGGAATAATATCTCCATTGTTCTCTTCGTTGGTCTTTTTTTTTTCTTAATTTGATACCATACAAACATGCACGCCTTCACGCTGCTATGCACATCCCAGCTGCTTCAAGTCTGCTTTAAGGTGAATACTGAACAAATTTGGAAGATATTTTTCCAGGGAGAGAATCAAAACTTTGGAAACAAATTAAAAAAGAGTGTGTCTGTCGTGATGAGATACATAATATTTTACGCTGGATTAGAGCCTAATCCATGGTTAATCCTCTGAGCAAGGTAAATAGCTAAATGTCATCTAGTATCCTGTTAAACATGCAAATTACAGCAGCACCTCTCTGTCTGCCACTTAGGCCACCTCCTTGTTTCCACCTCAAAATAACTGCAGCTATAAGATTGTACTTGTTTTATTGTATACTCTACTTAGGGGCTGAAACAATAGAACTTGAATGACTAGTATGTAAACTCTGTGAACATTGCATACATACAAGCACACACACATACATATATATCTTAATTGTGTCTTAATTGTTTTGTACATCTCCCTATCACTGAAAATGTTCTCCATTCCTTCTCTCTGTCTATGTTTCATGTAGGCATACCGTCTTTCTTTGAGAGGGACCTCATCTGTGTTATCTGGACGTACCGCTATCAGGAGCCATGAGTTGCTGCTGGGGTGACAGTCTTCAAAATCCTTTGATTTGGAACACCTAAAATGGGGACCAACTGCCTTGCTCCAAACTAAGCTCTAATTATCAAGCATAAGCTCTCCCTCCACCTTTCTCTCCACCCGGATTTGCCCTCCTCGCCTCTAACCTGACGTCCTTACAGTAAAGAATTTGAACTCCACCGCTCTCTTTTCAATTACTTTGTTTCCCCTTTCGTTTCCACTGAGGTGACATCAGACACGTATAATCCAAACCATGGTCAGCAGACTCAGTTTGCCCATCCTGTCTCCCTCCCTGTTTCTTACTCTCCTGCTTCCTGCACTGTTGCTCCTCCACCTGCCGGGTACTGTGAGAGGGGACTGCTGGCTGATAGAGGGCGATAAAGGTTATGTTTGGTTGGCTATCTGCAGTCAGAACCAGCCTCCATATGAGACCATTCCCCAGCATATCAATAGCACGGTTAGTATAAGCCTTTCTATCAGTAGACCTTTATGCCTCCACAGCCACCTCTATTAAACAGTTTGCTTCCCTGCATTCTAATATATAATGTTTTGTATTGTTTTTGTTTATTGCAAAGTTGCATAGAAATCTTATTTCGTGTTTATTTTGTATAGTCTTTGTTGAAAACTGTGCAAATGGTAGCTTATGTTAATGTCTTGGTTATATAACAATTTTTCAGAACACAATTGATTCGCAAAAAAGTTTTATCATTTTTGGAAGTCTTAATGGTTATTCCATTATTGTCATTCAATTTGGTTTAGTTGAAAGTTACAGTGATGGCTACATTGTAAAAGCAATTAAACCAATATTAGGGTATGTAAAGATATATCAACCAAGTATCTCTGGAAGATATTACCAATAAATTGAAAAAATCTAATCTGATGCAGTTAATTCGATCATTGACCCATTGCTAATCTTACACACCTAAACTCCAATTTTTTCACCTCTGTATATTCTACAGATGAGCAACTTTTTGAAAACAGAATTATATACAGAGGATTATCAGACTGACAACTGGAGTAAATACTTATTAGACAGCCAACATATATGCAGCTGCCAAGATTTTTGGAAAAGATTTTAGGTCATCATTCATGGCCATGATGTATCAATTCAGAGTTAAGTTCTCTCTTTTCTTTTTTAGGTTCATGACCTGAGGCTGAATGAGAACAAACTCAAAGCAGTGCTATTTACCTCCATGTACCGCTTTACAAACCTAACTGACCTCAATCTAACCAAGAATGAGATCACCTACATTGAGGATGGGGCCTTTGCGGGACAGGCCAACTTACAGGTCTTGAATTGCAAAACTCTATTTTTTTAATGTCTTCATATGTACATTTTATTTTATTGAAATATGTTATTATTAAAATAATTTCAAAGATAAAGAAATCCCTGAGTGATAGATACATAGAAATTTAGTACCACATCAGAAGCTGTTAACTTAATTTGATATGTATTTATAATGGTATTATTTTATTTTATTAATATAATTTTGATGTCAGTGGATAGAATCTTTAAACTAATTGAATACATTTTCTAACCAGACCAACAAAATCATATTTCCTTTTTGTTTTTACATAACTTTGTTGCATATTTCAATGGGGTTTTGTCTCTTCCCATGTTAGGTTCTCCAGCTTGGCTACAACAAACTGACGAACCTGACTGAAGGCATGTTGAGAGGTCTGGGTCGAATGCAGTGCCTCTTTCTACAACACAACCTCATCGAGGTCATTGCTACCAACGCTTTTTGGGAGTGCCCCAATCTCAGTAGTCTGGACTTATCTTCCAATAAGTTGGCGCGTCTTGACCCGTTTACCTTCACTGTCCTTGGCAGGCTGATGGTGTGTGAACTGGCAGGAAACCCATTCCACTGTGGTTGTGAGCTCTCCAGCTTCCTCAACTGGCTGGAAGAATTTAATAATGTAACCCACACCTATGACCGCCTACAGTGTGAAACCCCTCCAGACATGACTGGTTACCCACTGCTAAGCCCAGTTCCTGGCCATGGAAGAAATGCTAGATACATTCTTTTATCTGTGTGCCGTGATGGTGTAATTATTCCAGGAATGACCTCCCAGATGCCAGATCAAGATGGCTCTGGGATGGGTTTGGACAATCCAGACCAAGGCCTGTACCAACAACCAGTCATGTCATCCACTCCTGACCCAGGCTCTAACAGTCAGATTTCTGTGAAGCTTCGAACTGTCTCCCTCAATACTGCCTCTTTAATGGTACACATTCCACAACCATTCAGTAAGATGTATATTCTTTCCAAGCACAACCAAACTCAAGCTGAAGACATCAAGCCTCTTACAAACAAAACAGAAGTAATCACTTTGGAGAAGTTGAAACCACATACCAGCTACACCTATTGTGTGGCGTCTGTAAGTAAATCTCAGCGCTATAATCACAGCTGTCTGTCCTTTACAACACGGGCTATGGGGCTCGAAGATCACCGAACCAATTCATCAACAACTACTCACTACATCATGACGATCCTGGGATGTCTTTTTGGCATGGTCATTGTCCTTGGATTTGTCTATTACTGCCTCAGGCAACGACGCATCCAAGAGGAAAAGGAAAAGGCTATAAGTGTGAAAAAGACAATTCTGGAGATGAGGTGTGAACTTATTTTAAATTATTGTTGATCCGACCCACAATAGATATTAAAGTGACAGTATTTGTTTCATAGTGTCATTTACATATCTAACATTATTATAACTAAGTCAGTACTTTTATTTCTGTATTCCTTTGGTAGTAACTGTTGGTCGTTTTAAGTAGCTAATTTTAAAGCCCATAGATTAAATGACAAATGGTTATATAGTTTTGTTGAAACACATAAAAAAGGGAACAGAATAATCTACAGTGAATTTGTGCTTTTTAAGGTATGGTCCAGAGGCAGCTGCTGCAGTGGCCAAAGACCCAGGAGCCATGCAACGTCTACAAGAGCAGGCTCACCATCAGCACCACCATTCAGGAGGAGGGGGAGGCAAGCTGCCAGCCTCTGCTTCTTCCAGTACAGGAATGCTTCACGGATCAGCTAACACCAGTTCATCCCGTCTTTCCACCTTGCCGCAGGTAGAAAAAATGGCCACTGCTTTCACTGAGGCAATGGGCGGCAAGGGCAATTACATGGATGTTAGGACATCAGGACTGGCAGGAGAAAGCAGAGAGGGAGTTGTGGCTGCTGGAGGGGTAGGGGTAAGAGGGGAAGTAGTTGTTGATATGCGAGGTGGAGCTGAAAATGGAATAGAGGCTGGGGAGGATTCTGATGATGATGGTCGTGGCTCGGCATCAGAGATCTCCACCATCGCCAAGGAGGTGGACAAGGTCAACCAGATCATTAACAATTGTATTGATGCCCTTAAGTTGGATGCATCATCTAATAATGTAACCACAGTGGATAACTCTGTATCATCTTCCCAGCCTCCGTGTATTGCAACCCACCCTCGCAATCTTCTTCCCCTTTCTCCTGGCCACCCTGGAGATCAGATCATGGCATCTTCCCCTAAGGTGCATCCAAAGTCTCATCCTCAGCCTCACCCTCAGCAACAAGCTCAATCCCATCCTCAGCCCCACCTACAGCTACATCAGCAACCTCATCCACCTTCTATGGCCCCAGTACCCCTGGTCATGCCCCTGTCTGAGCGGCCTGGCATCAGTGGTGGTGGGTTTCTCTCCCCTCCTTATCGTGACCCACCCCCAGCTAATGCTGTGCGGCCCCTTCAGAGGCAGCTGAGTGCTGACACTACTGTGAAAAACCGTTGTGGTGCTCCTGCTGCAGGATCTGTGAAGAGCGCAAGAGTGTTCAGTGTGGATATCCCTGAACAACGCAGTGATCCACCCAAGTACCCAACAGAAAAGGGCAGCCCTGTTGGATGTGGTGGAGGGGCTGGAAGTGGAGGTAGTGCAGTAGGGGGTTGTAACGGTAATGGGAAGGGAAACCTAAATGGTGGTGGAGTGAGTTTGAATGGAGGAGGAATGGGGTGTAACAATGGTAGTGGGGGTGGATGTGGGATCATTGGCCCTGGGCAGCAGCACCACTTGGAAGTTCAGCCAGACTACCACAGTTCTGAGCACAGGCACTCCTTTCCAGCACTCTACTATGAGGGGGTTAATGAATCACCCTCACCGGCCCAAAAAGCATCATTTCTCAAGCCACTGGGCCGCACCAAGAGGGAAACCACTGCCTACTCCCAGCTCTCTCCTTCTCGTCATCACAACTACAACTCTGGATACTCCTCAAGTCCGGAGTACTCATCTGAGAGCACACTGCGCATCTGGGAGCGATTCCGCCCATATAAGAAGAGTCCCAGAGAAGAGGCATCCTATATAGCAGCAGGCCATGCCCTGCGGAAGAAGGTTCAGTTTGCCAAGGATGAAGACCTTCATGATATTTTGGATTACTGGAAGGGTGTTTCTGCCCAGCAGAAGTTGTGAGCAGGAACATTAAAGTTTAATGTAGATTGTAAGGTGAACACCAACAGCGGAATAAAAGGAAAAATATGTATATGTAGCAAGATAGATATTGATGTTTCGTCAAAGGTGTTTAGTGACATGGGCCATTCAGTCACTGGATCCAGAGAAAAAGACGAATGCTTTCTTGCTGATTTTAAAGATTGATTTAATAGCATTTATCATGGTTATTCCCAAGGTTGGCTTTTTTTTCTATTACAACCTTAAGTTATAATGAGCAGGAATCAAGCTGTTCACTTGACTGCTTCATACTGGGCACTTTGGTCCTTCCAAGCTTCACAGACAAGTTGATTCCCTGCTAATGAGCAAAGTTAAGGTGGTGACAAGCTAGTGTCTTCTACCTCATTAATGACACTGCAGGAGAGCTATTTCTCTAGAAGCAGCACCATTCATAAGCTCTGTTCATTCTCATTCTAATACCATCAAATCCCCATTCATAAAATCATTCCAAGCCACTGCTTGCACCTGGTGCTGGAGGCACCATTTAGGGTGATAATACGAGAGCAGCATAAAAGAATGGTTTAATTTGTATTAGAAGAGTCTGAATCCTTCTCTCTGGGGAAAAAATTAAATGATGCTTATCAGTCTAACTGTACTCCTTCGCAATTAGCCAGTGTAAGAGAGGGTCAATGAGGCTGTTTCTTTAGCATGTTTATTGATTTAAAACATCCAACTACATATGTTTATTGATGTGTAAGACATACAAGATTGTGCATGATAGCGGGAAAGATTACATGTGGGTGGAAGAATGAATGACTCACATTTAAAACTGTGAGTCATTCATTAGTTTCAGTGGATACCTCATAGGTACAGTAGATTAAGCTGAGATTTTGTATACGTAAATGAATTATGGTTTCACCGAGCCTACACATCTACTGTCGATAGTTTGAAGTGATTTTTTAAATTTTTCTACCTGTGTTGATGTATATTTCTTTGATAAGAAGAGCTACGATTTTGGGGAAATTTACAGTAGTGCAGAAAAGTACTGGAGGCTTGGTTATGCAGGTTGAAGAGGCTGGTGTTAGCTTGCATATTAAAAACTTGGTAATCACATTTATAAAAAGATGCAAACTGAGAGCAGGTTAGAGGCTTCTAGTAACAGCATCTAATTTTATACATGTCAGAGTTATGGAGATTAGACTAGGTTTGGTGGGTTTTCACATTTGGATGCATCTGCTCAAGGCGAGACTGTATCAGAAATGTTCCCTCTACCACAAAGTGAGATGAAATGAATAGTAAGAGGAGTGAAAGCCCCGTGGATATTTTTGCCACAAACTGTATAACTTTATGCTCCCTATATATGATACTACTGTCATCTCGGTAACACCTGGTTGCTTGCTATGGATCAAAGTGCCCTTGGCAGGAAAAATGATAAGTTGTCTTTATGATACCTTTTCATCTTACACAATATAATTAATACAGAATTCATTTTAAAAAATGCCTCTGATAATTTTCTTTATGAATATTATTTATAGATTATTGAATTTATTTGCGTTAAACTAACATTTTAAGGACAAAAAAGGAGCAAGGCTTGGTGCTACTGCAGACCAAGCAGGAAAATTCTGCCCAGAACACTGAACACAAGATACCCAGCTAGTAACTCAAAACATAAGCACATCAGTCATACTGGGATCTTCTTTACATCATTGCTGACAAGAATTACTTTCATCTGATCTTTATTTTCTTACACATCTCCCCATTCTGACAGATGATCTTGCTTTTTGCTATGGTTTGAAATAAGGTATAAGCAAACGCATGATTTGATTTACAAAATTGAATAATTTCCCTCAATGTTTTTATCCCCTGCACAACGCAACTGTCCATCTTAATGGGATAAATGAACAACTAATTTGCAGAAAATATTTTTTAGCTACAGTCTGAGGTCAGAAACGGATGATTATATTAACTTCACCAGCCCATCAGTCTGATTGAGATTAATGTCAGCTGCCACAATTTGCTGGACTTTATTTCCCCCCTGGCTCATGAAAACCCTAACCATGTTCCAACCCTCTCTATTTTCACTACAATTGGCTGTCAGGAGTAGTATCCATGCAAATTACCTTAAAAACTAGAGTCAGATTGGCTTTTAAAGTTACAGCAAGCAAATGTAGGCATCTTATCTTCTGGGCATTATTCTTTCTATTTTGAGTCTAAGCGGTCAGGATGGTCACTCATCATTCCTTGGCCACTGGGTTAACCATGACAACAGTGATTATATAGGTCATGAATTATACCATATCTTGAGGTGTTAGTTTGCAGACAGTACAGCAGTACAATTCCATACAGATCTGTTTGCAAAAGTAGGCTCTGTTAAAAGGGTCAAGAAATAATAGATGAATAATTAAATTTTACTTTTTTTTTGCACGATGGGCATTTCTTAGTAGATGCATACACAGAAAACTTTATTACTTCTTTATCAGTTCTAGCAAAATTATCGATGGTTTAGTGAGCCTTGTGCTCTTGCATGGTTATGAAGAGTTTCTATTGAGTTCATTGGGTAGAAGAAGTTGAAGTGTGCAGCTTAACACATGAAGCAGTAGGATTTAGAAGAAAGAAAAAAGTTTAGGTGGCCAACAAATGATGTGCCCTGTTTACATTTTTCTTTTTTGTCTTTTATATGGGCCATCGGATTTCTTTATTGACTTTATTTCTGAATCCTCATGTCATCTGCAGCAGTCCTTGCTATAGACCCATTTGCATTCACTTTGGGATAACAAAAGCCCCACCATTACATGACTATCAGATCAATAGAATTTAATTCAAACAAAGGTACCTATTAAAAACACATAGCAAATTCCCTGGGGGTATTAAATCAGATTGCCTCTGTTTTTTAAAAGGGACACTTGTTCTGTTTTGTCGGTTTTTTTCAAATTCTACTGGCAGTTTCTTTTGGTCCAAGGAATCACCAGTCAATTATTTTTAAATTAGCACCACAGGCTATCGAGAAGTACAAGCTTTTTAAAAATAATGACTTCATTTGGAAGAATGGAATGTATTGACGCTACCTACATATACCCCAAAGGCCTTGTGTTTAATGTAAGGAACAACACTGGTTTAGTTAGTCATCACCCTACCTTTTCTGATTGCTAAGAACATTACACCAAACTATCCTAGAGTCCAGTAATCTTTATCCTGTTCTTTAAATGTCAGAAGTTTTTTTCCTTAATAATTTTCATTCCCAAATAAAAAAATATTGGCATACTTGTGCAAATCTATCTACTTAGATTGTAAACATTGACCCATTATGACCAAGCCTTGCTCCTATACATTCCTTTACAATAATTATTTGGAGATTACTACACAGCTTTTTTCTTTTTCTATTACAATGAAGGGTGTCTGATTTTAGTCCCCAGAGACCAGAATCCAGAAATCATGACAGGTACTTGTACAAATAACATACCTTTGAGATTACTGGTGTGTCACTTCCTACATCTTTCCAATTAACTACAGAGATAAATCAGTATAGAGGAATCACTGCCATTCTTGGGCCTCCAGAGGAAAGAAAAAAAACTGAAATGGTGTAACTAGCATCAGTCTCTGGGTGAAAAGTCAAAATCCTTCTTTTTGTAGCTGTGAATTCCAGAAGCAAAGTTATGTTTACGTTATCATGACAGTTTGATTGATGGGGACTGCATCTGCTCCAGCTTTATTTGAAACAAGATGGCCGTACGTGACTTAGCAGATCAGCGCAGTCGCTTAAAATCCACAGTAAGATACACTATCAAAGCTGGTTTGCGACCATATGCTATTCCTCTGGGGTGGTGGATCCACCTCTGTGATAAATTGTGAAGAAACCTTTTCATTAACCCAGAAGATAGGGTCTATATATCTCAAAATCCCTTGTGTTTAACAGTGCTCTACCCAACTCTGGACGATGCTTCTGGGATTTAGAGCTACACAAATTTGGTTCCTAATTTGATTTGTGTTAAGTTGCAGAAGTTCAGTTTTATTGAAAATTATGAATCAATACCAATGGAAAATTCTGGAACAACCCACTTGATTGCCTCCCTTTGGAGTTACTTGCAATGTGAATCTCTATCACACATGAAACATGAAAACTTGCAGTGGCCTCCTAGGATGGGCAGTGATCTCACATTACCCCAACTTGATGAAGGAGTTGAAGTCCAGCTATAATTACAGCTGTAGAAATATTATACTTTGTTCTCATGCTGATAGCATTAAAATTGTAAAATGAGCCTCACACTTGCAAAAGTAAAATCCTAAACCAACACCTTTCCTCCTATGCTCCTTTCAGATTTACTGTTAGTAAGCTAATGGACCTCAAGAACATGTTCTGCAGATATAACTTTTTGTTACTTTTCCTGGAGTTTAATATCTGTGTAGAAAATGGGATTCTTGGGAAATAAGCTATGCTTTTAAGGTAATTAAAAAAAACATCCTTCAAATTTAATCTCAGACACTACAACATAGCACATTTTCTTGTGTGAATTCCACTGAAAAGACAAATCTATTTATGTTGTAAACATGTAAAATATATAACATTATCTCAGAGGCTGCAGTTTGGTTATTTGAAGATGTGTATTTTATTAAATTGTGAAAGAATGAGACAGTCCTGCTTCCCACTGAAAGTCTGTAAGGTACCGACTCTTCCCTTCCTTTTAGGATTTTCATTTTGGGTATAATACAAGATTCATTCAACAAGTCCAAATGGTACAGTGTGAGTCACGGAATGCATTTTCTTATCTCTTTTAATCAAACAAACCCGCGGACAAGAGCTGAATCTTGAAAGGCAAAGCCAATGCTCCAATGGTGTCCCCTGTTGACCACTACCCTGTTGTGGTCAGAATATAAATCTTAATTTTATAGATTGTTCTACCCGATAGAAGTTTAGACTAAATTACAGCTTGAAAGACTGTCCAGAGTAAAACCACTTGCTCTTGAGGAAAGAGTATACTAAGATCCAAAAGGTCCAACAAACAGACAGAGGTTGATATTCTGTCAAG